AAGCAAGTACTAAATGATTGTACAGTTACAACTGCACAGTTGGGTGCACGCATAGACATGCTGTTATAAAAATAAGAATAGGAGAAATCCATAGGCAAGTGTTGGGTCATTAAGTTATGCTACTTACACATCTGATGTATTTATCTTTTGGAAGTACAACCTGCCTGATGACCACTATTTCGGTGATACCATATTTACTCAAATCTAAGATCAGGCTTTTATCCCCAATCAACATGGGGGAAAAAAGCCCCTCAACTTAGATTGGGGTGGGCAAAATACAGCCCATGGGCTGCATCCAGCCCACCAAGTCATTGTATCCAGCCTGCCAGCAGGCAGCCACAAGTCTTGGGATCTGACTCATAAGAAACCAGTGGTTCTGGCTGTTGGGTTTTGCATCCCAGCCCCATCTGCAGCTTATGCCAGCTCCTGCCCTATGCACTGGAAGCAGTGCAAGGCTGGCATGGCTGGCAGCTTCTGGGTGAGGATCTGGGTTTCTCCTGGGTCTGTAGCTGACACTGCTGCATCAGTGGTGTTACCTTCACACCCAGTAGGAACTTGCCAGCAGCACCCACAGCTGATGCTGGGCCTGGCACCTGCCCTGCACTGCTTCTAGTGCATCAGCTTGTATAAGCTGTGGGTAGGGATGGGATGCTGCGGACTGGTGTGTGCTGTAGCTGCAGGGACAGTTCCGGCATGGAGAGAGAGAGAGAGAAGGGCGCATGCTGTAGCTGCAGGAAAGGGAGAAAGATCAGGGCTAGGGTTCTGCTCAAAGTTTAGATATTCACCCACCTCCTTTGGAAAACCCTGAACAGGTATATAGTTCCTCCAGTCACCTCTTAAGCAGACAGTATTTGAGTTGGTGACAATTACATATGCTCATCTGTGCCTGCTCTCTCAGTATCATTTCCACCTTGTGGCACTTACTGAGATTTCCTCAGAAATTATACTTGCAAATGCAATTCCTAGAATTTAAGCTTTTCAGACCTAATGCTGCACACAGAGGTTTTTTATCAACTCCTAGTTTTTGCATTTGACATTCCTTAGTATGCTAATTACTTTTTAAATTAGTATATAGTGTTCAGCATTAGACCATATCACTCTGTATTTATTGTTAGTTTAGCTACAATATGGGTACTCAGCATCATACAGAGCATGCAAGAGAAGGAAAAACCCCATGAATTATATATGTAAAGGACTCTCTTGCTAAAGGTAGTATCAAGATGTACTTATTAGGTTGAAATCATGGTACAGTATTTTTTTCTGTTTTACTTGGGGCATATAAACTGTCAAGCTTTATTCAGAGTAGATAAAACTCTAAAAGACAATAACATTAATGTTCTGTTTTGTTCAGCTGGTCAAAGCATATAAGTCCATTAAAGTCACTGGGATATAGCTTAAATATTTATTATTCAATTTTTTTTTTCAAAATAGAAATAGATATAAGCACCTACATATTTGCTGAACCAGAGCTATAGGTGGTAACATTAATATCATAATTTTTTTTCCTTGGGAAGAAATACAGTCTATATCCTTATTTTTGTAGAAGTAGACTTCTAATAAGTTGCATACAAATAATGGATTTGTTTCATGTAATATACAACTGACATTAGACAAGCAATAGCTTTTTTTAAAAAGTCATTACAACTACTATTTCAAAAATAGGGTATTATTTGTTGTTCACTTCTTTGCAGTGGATTTTGATTTTTTTTATTGATCTATAACATCAGGCTTTTCCATTTCTGATATTCATTTACTTTCGCAATCAGTATGGCCTTTTCTTTTTCTAAGTCATTCTGAGTTCCATAGTTTCATAGTTTCATAGTTTCATAGATTTAGGGTCGGAAGGGACCTAGTAGATCTTCTAGCCCG